ATATATTAAAAAAATAATAGAAAGGGTTGTAACATATTCAAAAGTTTCATTTAAAAGATGTAAAAAAATTGGTTTCCAAAGATTATTATAAGCTTTATGGAAACTATATGTATACAAGTTTTCATACAATTTCTTTTACAACTTTGTTTACTGGTGTTTATAACAAATTTATAAAGTTTATTATAAATTGTAGAAAAACTTGTAAAAGAAATTGGTTCTACAACTTATAATCAACTTTAGAACCAAATTTTTACGAGTTTTTATAATTTTTTAAAAAGTTGAGTAAAAACTTGTAAAAGAAGTTGTATAGAAGCTTTTTTATTTCTTTTTTACATAAAGTTTCCATAAAGGTTATAATCAACTTTAATACCAAACTTTTTTATAAATTTTTACAATCTCTTTTAAAAAAATAGAATATTTTTTACAATCATTTCTAAACTTTTTTACAACATTTTTAATATTTTTTTACATGTAGAAATACTTTCGTTTAAAAAAGTTGCATGAATATATAAAAAGAAGTTTTATATGTGAAAAAAGTTTTTAAAAATTTGTAAAACAAAGTATTGTATTACAAATTTAAAAAATTTAGAAAATGTTGTAAAAAATATTGTAAGTTTTATTTAAAAAAAAAGGTTGTACAAAAAATGTAAACATTGTAAAAAAAAAGTTTAAAAAAAATAAATTTGTAAAAAATAATTTTAAAACAATTAATAAAATACATGAACCATATTCGTAACAAGATTTAAAATTTAGACCAAATTAAGTGTGATCATGTAAGCATTCAGACGGATGAACCAAATCCAGACCATAACTGATATTGATTTTATGCAATAGGTCCGGTTTTTGGTTCTTGGATTGGTTGTGTTGTGGTTCCAGATTTTTAGTCGGGGTCAGTTATGTGGTTCCTTGGTATTGGACCGATTTTTATGTGTAATCTATGAAACCTTTATAAATAAATAACGCATCGGTTTGAATTCGTATTAACATGAGATTTTTTTCAACTTGCACTTCAGTTTATCTTATAATTTCATCATTTTTTATTCCATATTAAATGAGTTACAGTTCTTCGGAAGTCAGGATATCAAAATTGAAATTTTTTCGCTATTGTTTCTACGACTTATACCATCTATAACAAATGTTGTATCGGTCCAACATGTATGGATACCTGTAAACCGAAACCGATATGTATCGCTAGGTCGAGTTCCCGGTCCAAAAGATAACCTCTAGACCAAATTTAAATCAAAACTTAAAACCTAAAATAAAAAATCAAATCAAAATCAAAATCAAAGTTCATTACTCCTACTTTGATGTGAAAGGATTACTCCTACTTTGATGTGAAAGGTGAGTATGTTGCAAAAGCGTAACTCTAGGGGGTGCTGATGAAAACATGCTATGTTTGGGAAAAGTGGTAGAACGAGCGTTGTACCCTCAGAAATCAGAATAACCTACTCAGAAATCCTCGGGAAGAGGGTCGCTCTCAATTCTCAAATCTCACGACTTGATTTGATTGGATCCAAATCCCTATTTGCAATGGCGAATCTGAATCAGCAACAAATCTCAATTAAGCCATGGATCCTTGAAGTTGTTCCCTTCATAGTCCTTGTTCTCATAGCTGCTCACGTCATCGCTTTGGTACACTCCACTTTCTCTCTTATTTCACAAGATCACTGATTCCCATTTCCCAATAATAATCATAATCATACTAATATGTTTCCTTTTGTTTGTGTTCATGATTTGGGGAAAAAAAAGGTCTATTGGATATACAGATTAGCTACGGAAAAGCTCCCTGGACGAAGAAAGAAGCACTAGACCTTCTTCTACTTCTAATTCCTAGTTCAGTGGTTACACGAAGAATCGAAGGTGTAGTGATCCAAGATCTTGTTTATTTGTTTAATTTTTTACATTTTAGCCTTTGTGTATGGGATAGGGTACTCTTGTTGGAGGCACACAAGGTGTTCGATGAAATGTGTGAAAGAAATGTTGTCAATTTGACGATTAGTTTGGGTGTGTGAAATGCAAAGTGATGTATGTCATGAAAAGTTTTTTTTACAGAGTTTAAAATTTTCTTCTTGTGTTTTGGCTTCTTCTCCTTTGAAGTTCATACTTCAAGAATATTGTATATGAACTTGTCATTTCACCAAATCTGTATCAAGATATATTCAATAGTGTTCCAAGAATTTTAGTTTGGATATTGTCATCAATGAAACATGATTAAAAAGTATCATTATTTAATAGTCTATCATCTTGTTTTATTGGTATTTAGTATTCTAATAATAATAATGAGATGAGATTGTTAATAATCATTACATAATCTTCATGGAATGTCACCTAATATGATCATTATAAAACTTTCTTCTACACATGGAATAATTTTAGGATGATCAAAAAAAATAACCACATCATTATGGAAAATATAAAGAAATGATTCAATTTGTTCTTATTCGCCCAAATAACCGCCATTTTTTTTTTTAAATTATACATTTATGTCGGTTTTCAGACCAAACATTGCGTACAAATAAAAGGAATTCCGCAGTTTAAAAAAAATGTCTGAAATCTGAAGACAAATATGAAATTTAAAAAAAAATGCTTTGTTTTTGTTAAAATTCAAGAAAAATGTAAAAAAAACATAGTAATTTGTTTAGTTGAAAAAACAATGATAGAAAATATTTCGGATTCAAAGGGTAGAGAGAATTTTTTATAATTATTTGGTGGTAAAAAAAACATATTTTATACCATCCACAATCTGAAATGTCACTATTTCGAAATTAATGGTCATTTTTGGAAATAGATAAAAGTTGGGTCATTTACATTTTTTCTACAAAATTATTTGGTTATTTTTATGATTATCCCAATAATTTTTCATGCAATACTTCAATGGTTGTTGTACAACCTTCATCATTGTTTATCCTTTTCATTGCCACATAAAATCATAAACTAGTCATAGTTTTATAATTGGTAGATTGTCATAAATAGGTAACAAACTATTTGTTACAAAAAACACATAAATGAGTAAAACATAGTATGTGTTTTTACTCATAAAATACATTCAAATAATATTATTTTGTGAACAAAAAGTTCCAATTGCTTATCTCCTGATAACATTTTTTTAATATTAATGATGTTTTGTGAAAAAAAAAAAAAAACAAATAGTTTGTTACTCATTTTTCTTCCATTAAAAAAATCTAAGAATAGTACCAAAATTTGCACAAATACAGTAAACATTCTTGGATGTGTTCCTATGCATAAAGTTCAAACACTCAAAAGAAATTACCTAATTTTATTTATTGATTCAAAAAGCCTTTAAATTTTTTTTATTAAAATCTCCCACTCCCGTTATTGCTACTCGTCATTGGAAGCACTTGCAGCACTTAAATCCACGCTCAAGTCAAGACTCTGTACAATCACCCACCCGCACAGTTGTCAGTATCAGTATATCATGTCAAGTCATGTCAGTATAAATAAAGTTTACCTTTCCAGTAATCTTGCTGTACATGGCAATCACATCTTGTACCGTGGACTCAAAGTGTGTTGTCGCATCATAACTCTGAGACGAAACAAAAAATAATGTAATTCAAACAAGAATGGAATCGGAATAGGTGATTCCGAAGGGTAAAATCGTAATTATACTCACAGTGGAAATGAAACAGTGATCATCAGCACCATCGTTAGTGGGTTCGTATCTGTCATAAGTATCAAAAAAGATTTGATCCACAGCTCCAAGTAAGTCAATTCCGGGCTTCAATTCCGTTTCCGGATTATCTGTTTCCGCTTCTGTTGTCACAAAGGCAATGAACTTTCCCTTCGGTGCTACATTGTGAGAATATGAACAGCAAAACAAATACCTAAAGAAACAAACTTAAAGAGTCATTTGAAAATTTGTAAATATGTTATTATTGAGGAGTAAAAAAGTAATTATTACATGTCTGATTTGCGGCCTAGTTGTTTTTGGGGTAGGATGACTTGAGTTGAATGGGCATCATTAGTGTGTGGGATGGGGTGACTCATGATGCAAATAGCACGTGCTACTTTGCCAACTGCTTTTACCTGTTTCAAGAAAATGGATTTTTTTTTTCTTTTAATTTATATTGAAAATGGTAAGATTAAAAGTTTATTAAAATTAAATTTTATACCTTATCGGGTAAATAAGAGGGATCACATACTACTTTTTTGCATTTTGCAGTTTCTCCTTCTGATGTCACACCAATTGCTTTCCCATCTTCAAACTCTACCTGTTTTTTGAAAGCAATGGAATTGGAACATGACAAAGGGTATTTTGGTCTTTTTGAAGAAAAAGGAAGAATGGAATGGAATTGAATTTCCTTCACTAAACATGGGATTTGAAGGAATGTAACAAAATTGAATTCCATCCATGGAATGGAATGGAATCTTGAATTCCAGTTCTGTGGATTACCTTGCATTCTGGTTTGTTGAGCATGTAGGTGCCACCATAGACTGCACTCAAACGAGCAAATGCCTGAAAATATTTATCAGATAAAGTTAAATAGATACAAATAGCAAATTAAATAATTAAATAATTAAATAAACGAATCTTTTGTTATTGATTATACCTGAGGTAATTCTCCTAGTCCATAGAGAGGGTAAATATATGGAGAACCTCCTGCAAACCTAGCTAATGACTCTGCATATAGCTATTCATGAAATATAAAATACTATTACACAATGAGAAAATAAAAACAATCTTATTCATAGTACACTTAGACAAGAGAATTTTAATTATGAAAGATAATAAAGTTATCTTTTTGTTATGTGAAAAAACAAAAAAAGTTTCACCTTAACTCTCTTGATAAAATCTATAGCTGGTTGATCCAAATAAGAGTCATCCCTATAAAGTGCCAATGCATGTCCAATAAAATCAACTGTATTATCATCTAGTCCATATTTTTTCCTACATAAAACAATAAGTCAAACATCATAAAACAGTAGCAGTGAAGTTAGATAATTGAATAAATGAAAAAAGGGTGAGGTTAAGATCATACGAAATAACATCTTTTGCTGGAACTTTATTCAGATCCAATCCTTCTTTTGATTTTGGATCATTATCATCATAGTCTTGAACATAAATGAAGAACTTTCTAGCACGACGTTTTTCAAATAATCCCATGAGAGGGGATTTAAGTGCTTCAACATCAGTTGCTGGAACTTTGTGAACCTGAAAGAAAAGAATTCCCAGTTTTGAAAAGATTACAAGTTAAGATGATTTCTAATTTGTAGAAGCTAAAGGGGTTTTCATATACCTTTCCTTTGTTGTACACATAGCTTCCATCAACAGCCTTGAAATTAAGGTATTTTGTGACATTAGTGTGAATTAGAACACGAACTAAGGCACCATTAGCCATCATAAACTGCAAAAAAGACCAATTTGACATAAGTTTAAGATGGTTGTTCATAATAATTCATTATTTTTCAAAAAATTACACATGCCTTGGGGACCATATCAACATTGTAATCTTTGCTTTGGCCTAATTCTGCAGGAGGTGAATCACCACCCTTGAATCGCTTCCAGAGCTATAGAGTATACATATTAATCTATTAATGTCAAACGAGTAGCAAAAACAATAGTAAAAGTTTTGAATGAATTATTTAGTTATAAACTTATAATATTAATAATACCTGGTTTAGGTTAAGTGAAGTTGATTCGCCTCCATAGTAATCATTTCTATCCATGTGAAGTACCTGTACAAATAGACAAGCAATGATCATACAAGACCAGCATTTAGCTATTTGTTAGGTCACACCTCAAAACAGGATCCATTGGGAGTCTAATTACTAGTTAGCACGAATTTCAACATGAAGAGCTTGAGGAACAGGTAGGGTCGTATATTATGAGCTTTTAGTTTTGCCATTAGAGTTCGTTGTGTCTAATTTTGTTACCATCGTTATTATGTTAAGACGAACTTCCAGAAAAAGCGTGTTCATGAACAGGAACGTAATCAAAATAGGCTGAATCTCGATATACATACTAATTGCAGTAGAAAGCAATTACAGATTAAAATTGATCGGAGCAGAAAATGAATTCATACCACGAAATGGAGCACCAGAATACAGCATCAATTTGCAGCAGTAAAAAAGTACGATCTAAATAATCGGAATCAAAATTTCAAACAACGAATAGCTGGATCGAGATTAATGAAATTGATTTGATCATTTCAATCACAAAATGCATCTCAGTATGAGAATTTGAACACATATACATACATACATTCAAAGATATATACGCACAACAAATGATTTGGAGAAAGACGTACTTTGAGGCCATCGACGGAGAGGAGACCACTGAGGATGCATTCCTTGAGACCGGTGCCGAGTACTATCACATCGTATTCTTCATCCATGGTGGTGCAATTAGGTTAACGAACATCAAATGAAATGAAGAAATTGAGTGATTTGATTTTAATCAACTAAGACTATCAAAAGAAGAAGAAATTGAGATATAATCGGACATCGTTTTGGGGAACAGGTCTTAAGCAGAAACATTCGGTTATGAAGCCCCCCGCCAAATTTCAAGGATTTCTTTTTACGTGGTGGGCCCCCACCGATCCAGCCTTTTTCGCAAACTGCAAAAGGGATTTCATAAACATAAAATAAAATATTTTTTTATTCGCCATGTCATCAAAACTCAAAACCAAGCCGTTCTGTTACGTGGCCAAACAAATGAACAATCGGAAAAACGGGTTATATGAGGTAAAGATTGTTTTTATTTAGTACATAAGTAACAATTTTTTCGAAGCTTATAGTCCAATGGTCTCGTATCAAGATCTAATGTTCCAATTCTAAGTGGTTTAGGGTTCAAGTTTCGCTTACAATAATAGTATTATTTAGAAGTACATTAGAAAGTGTATGTGTCTCAATTCTAGGAAAGTAAGAATTGTTTACCATATTTATTTCATGACAACATACATCTTCTAGTACCCGGGTTCATTGCAAGAGTTTGAGGAACTTGAAGGGCTTCTAAATTTATTGGAGATTTTCGCCCATGGAGGACATTCAGAGAGCGAGAGAGTTGAGCTTTTCAACGAATTAGAAGAATGAATGAGTCATTATCCTTTGATATAAATTTGGTTAT